TAATAACATTCAGCGGTCGAAATGAAATATTGAAAGATTCAAAATGATTGCAAAAACTGGTTTGCTTCATGTACGTCTTAAATGTATTAATATAATGTCTTATTTTTTATTCACATTTTCACATTCAGACGATCGCTCGAATCGATTATTTTGCCCTACACCATTGTTAAATACTTATAACATCTAAATCAGTATTTCAGTCAGCAACTTTGGTTTGGTTTACACTGTTAGCCGTATCAAGTGAGACGATCATAATCCGTCAATTTAGGAATTAAGGACGACCTTGCAACTTGAGAAAAAAAAGTTTTGCTGGAATGTTAGGAAGGTATGACTAAAAAAACTCTTTTGTTGCCGTTTTCCAAGGTTTTATTAAAATACTGTAATATCTCAAGGATAATTCCCGCTCTTTTGCCGCTTTTACACGCTGAAATCAAATTATTAAAGTGCTAGTGATTCGATTTCTACCTATGCAGAAGATAGTTTTTATATGATTGAGAAACCTACTCGTATAGAATTGTTGTAATTATAGCGGCTGCCTTCAAGAAGGAATCTAATCGCTGCTCTGCTGAGTCCATTGGCGACATTTTTTCGATTAATCGCAATAGGTCACTATCGGGATGTATTTGAGGAATAGTGGTGAGGAGGAAATCCAGTAAACCAACATCCAATGTATCCTTGGACCTTGGAGTGGAGATACGCTGATAGAAAGTCGCAGTGGAAACATCTGTAATAGAATTCTGATCAAAATGGGTCTCGTAGCGAAAAACAGAGCAAATAGCTATCAAGTGCAATGTATTCTTACTCGCTAGTTCTTCTTTAGCCTCATGAGAGAAGCTGAGTAGTTTTGAACATTTTCTCCCTTGTTCCGCTCGAATTTCGCTGAAGAAAAGAGTATGTAAAAATGTAAAAACACTCTCAATGTATTTGATCCATAGAATACACACGCCTACCTCAACTTATTTGGATGTAGAATAGATGTTGATTCCACTAATCGAATTGCGTCGTTTAATGCGGCTAAACCATCACTCATCGGATTCT